GTGGCTGATCCAAGCCATAGTATTTTCAATAATCTCATATGCATGTAAAAGTTGGACAGTGAATAAGGAAGACCTTACAATAATTGTTGGAGGAGAATATTAAAAGTACCATGGACTGCCAAAAGAACAAACCAATCTGTGTTGGAAGAAGTACAATCAGAATGCTCCTTGGAAGACAAAATAGCTAGACTTCATCTCTCATACTTTGGAACATATTATCAGGAGGGACCAGTCCCTGGAGAAACGACATCATGTTTGATAAAGTTGGCAAGTCGGAGAAAAAGAGGAAGGCCCCCAACAAGATGGATTGGCACAGCAGCAGAAGCAGTGGTTTCAAAGGTTGCAACGATTGTGCGGGTGGTGCAGAACCAGGCAGTGTTTCATTCTGTTGTGCATAGTAGGGTCAACTATGAGTCAGCATGGACTCAATGGCACCTAACAACAACAAATGGATCTGTTTGGATGATACCTATTAGGTACAGGGAGACCTGAATACAGTGCTCAAGAGTATCATCTGACTTGTACTAGAAGTTTGAAAGTCATTCACTTGCTATTATGTAGATAATGTGGAGATGAAAGGAGGTGTACCAGGCTAAAGAATGGAGAGAAAATGAGAGGGAGTAGGAAGAGCTGCTAATCAATACAGGACAAATCTTGTCAGAACTCTTGAGGGTTTCCTCACATATGTTAAGTACTATGAGAAATTTTAAGAACTAAGAAAAAGGTCCTTGTGTCTTATAATTTTGAAGCCTTGGTGACTTGTAGAATATTCACAGTAAGATTTATTGGTCACCATCAGGAGTAATTAAGAATCATCCGCCTTATACTTCTGAGTATATAGATATAGGATATAGATAGATAGATAGATAGATAGATATATTGGTATATATCTATATATAGATATATACCAATCTAATCCTCTATACTTCTGAGATTTAGAAATTGGAATGCCAGTTACAGTATTGTTGGTTATAAATAACAGATGGTTATATTTTGCCAAATTTAATTTCTATTTATAATTTCATGTGAACAGTTTGTCATGGTCCACTGGGAGAAGAGAAATCTGTAAGTAAAGTTTTCCCCTAGTTTAATCTAAACTTACTCTCATTTAAATAGAATGCTAAACTTGTTCTGTAACTATAGCCTGGCGACATATGGATTGCCAATTGCCACAGATGTACTTGTACTGATGCAAAGACTCTAGACTGCAAACCCAAGGAATGCCCTTCTCCACCTATATGCAAAAATGGAGAGCGGCTCAGAAAGTTCCGAACTAATGACACGTGCTGTGAAATTGGATACTGTGGTATGTACTAAAATAAGGCGTCATTTGAATTCATTCTGTTCATTGTTTGCTTATTCATATATTAAACAGAATCTGTAGTTATCCTCTTAAAACTTACTTTGGGTGTGAGGGAAACCCAATATTACCTGTTATGGATATATTCAGTAGATGAAAGGGAAGGGGTAAGGTTTTGGCAAGAAACGTAACTGTCTAATTACCTCACATAATTTGCTGAAAATATATTTATTTTTCAGAACCAAGGACATGCTTATTTAACAATACAGACTATGAGGTGAGGTTTTTTTGTTTGTTGTTTTTTTAACTTCAAGGTATTTTTTTATTCATAGAATTACCTGAATAAATGTTAATACTTAGCTATAATGAATAAATGTTAATACTTAGCTATACTATCATTTCTTCCCATATTCATTTCAAAAAGAACACCAAATGTAATGTTCTATCATGGGCCCCTTCAAAGGGGGAAAATATGTTTGATCATTAACTACCCAGCAGTGGAGCTTCTGAACAAAATTACCCATGGGCCTTGCCAGATGGAGAATATAATACTTTGTAACATTTCAACTCAATGAACAGAGTTAAATAGTAATTATAACTAGGAAGATCATATGGCCAAGCTGTCAGAGATCAAACAGAAAAGCCCTGAAGACTAGAACACTAACTAGTATGTGGATATAGCAACATGGTACATTCAGGAATGGGTTTTGACATTTGGCTTTTTGAACACTTTAGAGAAAGTATCAAGAGGATGTGAAAATCAGATTAATACTCACGTTTATATTAATGCATTTGAACTAATGATCCTAAATATTAAAACATCTAATAAAATTTAATATTTGTGAATTAAGCATTAGCAAATGTTATGAGAATTTAAATCTGATAGCTAATTTATGACGCTCAAATTTCCATCTGATCTCTTAATCTTTAGTTTCCAATGGGAACTGTTGTTGTTAAGTGCTATTGAGTAGATTCTGACCCATAGCGACCCTGTATAGGGTTTCCAAGGAGAAGCTGGTGAGCTTGAACCAACCATGCAGTTCAAATGGCTTTGCAATCTGGTGCTTTAACCCACAGTACCACACCAATGGGAAGAGGACATAAGAATTTATATCACTTTATAAAAAGCAATAGAATGGTGTTCCAGATAATTAAGGAAAACTTTTATGCCTATTTAGATGTAAAGTAACAAATGGTAAAATTTCAGTTTGTTTATCAGAAAGTTCATCATGTGGTGTGAGCCCTGAAATACAAATTTTCAAGCTAATGTTTACGTTTTGAGCATAATCTAGTTATAAATCAGTCTAAAGTGTTTTCAAAGTATGGGGACACAAAGAAGAAAAACATGTTGTGAGAATGGCCTCTTCTTGTAAAGCTGTGTTGTTTTTTTGCTTTTTCCTATTTTCCTACTTTTTACTCATGGAAGTAGGGCCTTTAGTCCCCCTTTCCCTAAACCTTATCCTAATGGCTGAAAGTGCCTGCAGAGATCCATTACCTATGTTGTTAAGTACTGTGGAGTCAGTTCCTACTCATAGCTACCCTGCACAGGGTTTCTGGGGCTGTAAATCTTTACAGGAGCAGAAAGCTTCATCTTTCTCCCGTGGAACAGCTGGTAGTTTCAAACTGCTGACCTTGAAGTTAGCAGCCCGATTTATAACCACTATGCTACCAGAGCTCCTTTCATTACCTGTACTTGGGGTGCGGGGCGTGTGTGTGTGTGTGGAGAATAACAGGTTCTATTGTCAGTCTCAAAGATAAATCATGATTAATGATTTTGTTCTCCCTCCAATCATCCTCCCAGGTTGGGGCTTCATTTGATGACCCCAGCAACCCGTGCATCTCCTACTCCTGCAAGGACACTGGCATCACTGCAGCAGTGCAAAACTGCCCAAAGCAGACCTGGTGTGAAGAAGTAAGTCAGCTTCCTAACTCAGTTACAAAATCCCCCACTAATAACAAGCACAAGCCCGTCACCGTTCTCACAGGGAAAATATGTTTCTGCCAATAGACGCACATCTCTTGTAGATTCTATATAGCCTTTTAATGCAAATTCATATCATCCAAAGTCATTGATTCCAAATTTGTCCCCCTTCTATTGAGATATTTTTCATATCAGAAATATTTATAGATACATTAAAGTACAGTCTAGTGCTATTCGAGAAGAGGTAAGTGACTAGAGAAACCATTTAAAACAAAGCAACTTATTTTCAATAGCTCATGGACTCAAGTTGTTTTCTATTATAATATAATAAAATTTCTATATAATCACATTTAATATCCATTATCTTGCTTTCTGTTCCAGTTATTCTGTCCCGTTAAGGGTATAAAATAATGAAAGCTGAAATTTAAATTATCATTGATCTTTCTGAAGATGTACTTGACAATAGAGTATATTATTTTAAAAATAAGTTTATATATTCAGTCATATTTTTAGTTCCCCCTCTATGATGCTATCTAAATAAATCATAAAATGTCATAATATGTCTACATGTCTACATAATTTCTCTCTTTACAGGAAAACAGAATCTATGATTCAAAAAAATGTTGCTATACATGTAAGTAAAATTAGTTTTTACATATACAGGATATGCAAATTATAGTTAGAAAGCCTCCTGTATTTGAACACAACTGGAAATCTAACCTATATGTACTAAGTAACAATTAATACTTGTAGATAATGTTATTATATTCAACTAGTCATACTAGATACAGCATTCTTGCCAGTCAAAGCTCAATATATCTATAAGGAAAAAATTTAAGGAAGCTTAATTTTCTTCCTTATAAAATATAAGGAAACTTAACTGGCTCTCCTACCATCTGCAGATTATGTTGTAAATGGATTTATTAGATCAGAAGGATAGCTGCTGCTGTTGCTGTGTACCCTTGAGTCAGTTCTGAGTAACAGCCACCTGGGCTCTGAGGGTTGTAAACATCTTTCCAGGAGCGGAAAGCCTCATCTTTCTTCTCTAGACTGGCTGGTAGATTTGAGCTGCTTAACCTCAGGCTAATGTGTAAATCCCTACACTACCAGGGCTCAGAGAATGTCACAAAAAAGCAAAACAAAAAAACCATGCCCTCCATTTGTCTTATTTCTCCCTCTCCACCCTCCTTCCTCTACCCCACTACATATCCCTTCCTCTGCCTCCTATAAATAACAATAACAGCAATAGTAAGGTAGAGTTGAATATTCATGACCTTCCTATGCTGTATGCTGAGACATTTATTGCTATTATTATGGTCCATTTCATGGATAAGAAAAACTCACTCTTAGTACTTGTTAATGTTTTAGGTAAGAAAAACTGCACAACATCACTTGTCAATGTGACGGTTAAGCTCAATGGTTGCCAGAAGAGGATTAAGATGGCAGTATGCTCAGGGGATTGCAAGAACACTATTAAGTAAGTTTTTCTTTGAATATGTACTGCATTAAGATTAAGCTTTTAAAACATTACAGTGCGAAATTATTACACGAGGGCATTGTTTTATGGCTAGGATTTCATGAAACAAACATTTAAAATAAGGGTGAATCATTTTGAACTCATTTTCTAAAGATGCCTAAACACATTTGTGACAATGCCTAAACACATTTGTGACAAATGTTTTAATTTTCGTGCAGCAATTGTTGAGAATACTTAAGCAAAGATGTCACATGAATTTTAAACTTGTAGCTCATGGCTTTCCTTTGTATTTTATAAATATAGCTTGATAGATGACATTCTGGGTTAATGTACTGGACTGCAAGGATGGTGGGTCAAGCTCACCAGCCGCTCCTTGGAAACCTTACACAGGGTTGCTACGAGTCTAAACTGTCTCAACAGCACTTTAATAACAAATGGCTTGATATGTATACTTAAATCTTTTACCTTTTATGAAATTTTGTGGGAACACCATCTTTTGTCTGCAAATTAGAAATCCTTATTTTGGAATTCTTTTGTCTTATATTCCACTTATCAAAAGCAAGAGCTAAGAAAAGTTGGTTGGAAGGCTTATGCTAGACTTTGATCTTTATAAATATTTTTGGAAATTAATTGTTATTGAATTCTTTTCTTTTAGGTATAATTATAACATCTTTCAGTTGGAAAAGTCATGCCACTGCTGCCAAGAAGAAGCCTATGAACAGAGAGAAATTGATCTTGACTGTCAGGATGGCAGCACACTACCTTATACATACAGGCACATCACAGCATGCTCGTGCTTAGACAAGTGCCAACAATCTATGATGAGTTAATGCTAGCATGGCCTCTCCAGTTGTAACAAGCCAGATATTTATTTTATAAGTGAACAAAAATCTTAAATGATGAGAATGACTAAACCATATATATATATATGTACACTCACTCAAAAAGTGAGTTCTCACTCCAAAGGTACTTTGTCCACTTGCTTACTGAATCTTCAAAATAATAATAATAAAAAAAAACCTTGCAAGCAATTAATGAGCTAATGTTCTTTTTTTATGGTAACAAAGGTCTCTTTCTTTCATCTCCTCAGGCTATCTATATTCCTGTTTCACTTAATCCCTTCAAACCGAAGTTTTTGAAAAAGCGGTCTTTATTCTCTTTTTTTCACTTGTCTGTCATTTCACTACAATTTCCTCTGCTTAGGATTCCAGTGACCTCTTTATAACTCTTTTGTTGGAGGTCTGATGTTATCTCCACTCTCCTATCTTGCAACATCACTTTTTAATTAGTACTTCTACATTTGGGGAAACTTTACTTCTGACAATCCTTCCAACCTTAGTTTTTTTCTAAAATGATACCCTGGTTCCTCTCATCATTTTATTTAGGTTCTTTGACTACCCACAACTTTTTACATATGAAGGATTTCTAAATCTGCATTTCTAAGTCCCAACCCCTTCTCTGAATTCCAACACATTGAATTAACTCTGAACTTAACATCACTCACAAGCTTCAGAAATGGCACTAAAATGAAATATTTTTTGTTAAGTACCATCAAGTCAGTTTTGAATCATAGTGATCCTGTATAGGGTTTCCAAGGAGCAGCTGGTGAGTTGAACCACTGACCTTGTGGTTCAAACAAACCTTGTGGTCTAGTTTTTCCACAGAAAAACACGAGGACTCTAAGAATTATTGTCAGTAAATTCACTTCACCACTTTGTATGCCAGTGAGTTAGTTACCTAGGAAAAGTTATATTTGACCAATATTATGACTCATCTTCAGCACATTGTACCACTTTACTGCTTCAAAAAACATGTTTCTTTCTATATACTTCCAAATATGCCCCATCTAACATATGTACGTATATAACATGTGCAGTTAGCAAGCCTATTACTTTCCTAGTATGAGAGCAAACCCAAATTTTCATAAGCCATTCTCATACTACTACTCACCTTTCCTGGTGTGATGCTGAAGGATAATGCACTGGACCACTAGGGTCGGCAGTTCAAAGCCACAGACAGGGTCACTATGAGTCAGAACTGACTTGATGGCACTTAACAACACTAACCTGTCTTTATCACCTGGACTAAAGGAAAATTTAATCAAGATACTATCCATCACATATTTGATTGAGGAAGAAAACTGGTATATACTATTAACTGCCTCAAAAAGGTATAGGTGAGCATTACAAATCTTACTTCTTCAGTTTGTCCCAAGGTCTTTGACTCTCTTTCACGACTGCCACTGGTTTCGATTTTTCTTCTTCTAAACAGAACTGGCCAGTTGTCAAAATTATGAAGGGTTTAAGTCCTTTAAAAATCTCCTTTAAAAGCCTGTTGGGCACACCAACAATAACAGCAAAGATGAAAAATGTAGAGGACAATAAATGCTGGCGGGGATGTGGAGAGACTGGGACACTCCTGCATTGCTGGTGGGACTGCAAAATGGTCCAACCTCTCTGGAAAGCAATA